AAAGTCATGCAAGCAGCTCTCTGGCAAGAACATTCTGTCTGGTTTAATTTTCACTGCCTCCCCCCAATCTTTCTGGAAGACAAAAGTAGTTCCCATTATTGGCACTGACCATGCGGTCCACACCTTTTTAATAATTCAGAAAGAGATAGGGTTTTACAGTTGTTCACCTGATGAACTTCTCCTGTTACCACAGAGGGGGCGGTGCTTGGAAAATCCTGCTCAAAGATTTACTGGGTGGTGGTGTTTTGCACTGCGAGATTTTCAGATTGCCCCTGAAGAGTTTACCATCTGCGTTTGCATATTTGCATATGAATTGTACATTGTTTTCTTGGAACATGAGACAGAGGGGGTGGGAAGGAAAGCCATTCTGCAAGTAATGAGCTCATTCGACATAGCTCTAGTTTAAGACTTCTGCAGTGTTGTCCTCGTTTCACATTTGTCTCATATGACCAGACATGGAAAAATCAATATTATGTCTTTGAATGTCCTGTGAGCCATGCCAGCGTCATCAAAGATCTATCAAATATCACATCTCTGCACAATTTCGTTTCGTAAAAATGCCCTCAGCCCCTGGTCAAAATGTTTGGTCACAGACGAAGCCCCTGCGCTCCAGGAATAACACGTTAGCAGCTCTCTGTGTTTGACAGAGCTCTCTGCTTTATCTAATGTAACCCTGGCTTTTCACAGGCTGACCTCATTCAGTCAGGCACTGAAGCCTCCACGGCTCAGGCTTACTATGCAAGCCACAAGGTGCGTGACCTCCTGCCTGTGATGCAGGCCTTAACTGAGAAACTCGTCAAACAGACAGGAAAACGAAGCAACAGAAGGGTGTCAACAAGACAACACTTACTCTAGGCCTTTTTGGAGAAAGAGAAATGACACTATTGGAAACAATACAGAAGAATTTGTACTTTAGAGAAGTTGGACTTAAAATACCTTTGTTTTTCTAAGCAAAGTGCCCTTTCCATCTGAATAAGAATGGGCTAGCTTGGGGACAAGATAAAAACACTCTGAGCACTACGGCAAAAGAGACACAATGTTTCAGCAAAGGTCTCTGGGCAGGTTTTCGATACAAGAGTCACATCACCATAAGAGCTTCACAAATATTAATGAACATTCACTCTGTCACTGAAAACAGACTAACAAGGTTTGCTATAGATTAATTTGAGTTTATAATTATTCACATCACGGGACACCATGCTGTCCATCTTCGTTGCCTTCACAAAAATAAAAGTATGATCAATACTGGTGGAAGAATTAAAAACTGAATGAAATTGAATGCTGGGGATGAATACAAAGCACAGAGAGGTACCACTCAAGAAATCAACCTTTACTAAAAGTGTACCCGAAGACATTGTCTAAATGTACCACACTTGCTTATGTCTCTCAATTCAAGCTGATGAAGTTACTGATATTGGGAAAATTATTTTAAGGTGTCAAGTGTAAACCAGTAGCTAGTTGAAAAGCACAAACAGCAAAGAACAGCAGCATGAGTTAATTCAGAAGCTGCATCTCTTAGAACTGCCTGCTAGTTATCCCACAAATTACAATTGCCCACTTTCAACACTTTTACCCAGCTACAAATACAAGATGTAGATACAAATCAAACAACCAATTTTGTAATAAAACAACTGTAGAACTTTTTTTTTTACCCGATGTTGATAGCCACAATGTTTTTTTTTTTCAGCAAAATACACAATTACTAGTTTATACCAAATTTCAGGTGGCACAAGAACATGCTTTTATATTTTGGGGTATCTCCAGACATTGGAAACATGGCTTTATGCAATTTGTTTTTTTCAGAGGGGTAAAATAATCCCTCTGAAAATCAGATGCATCCAGTGTGAGATGGATCATTAGTAAACTGTACAGTCCAAAGCTGACATAAATCAGTGTTCACAGCAGTAAAACACCTTCACTAGACCTTCAATGTAAGAATGTATACATTGTTTTACATAGGTTCATTCTAGTAACTAAACAGAAAATGATTGTGATCTGACAAAAACACATATTAAATGTGTGAACTCTTCAGCTGACAAATTCTTCATTGATGGAGATATTGAGCCTCTTAAATGAATCAGTGCAGTTTGTCTCTGGCATCTTCTGCAGTAGATGTCTATCTTGAAAGCCTCCTTTGTTTGGAGATAATCAGAATCCTCAGACTGCTAAACAGCTGCTTAAATCACAGAAGCATCAATAATATCTAGAGAGCTTCAATTAGCTTTATTCGCAGACCAGTTGTTTTCCAAACTGCACAATTACCCATTAACAAAATAAGCAGAAACAAATTAGAAAAAAAGAAAATGGAGGGTATTAAGCAAAAATAAATGTCTAGTTTTTCACTAGTGGTATGACAATGTCTTTTACTGCAGTCACTCTAGTACTTAAAAGACACCATGTACCTAATTCCCATGAAAAGGCCATTATATATTGGAATAGAGGGAGAATGACCACTTCAGAGATCAAAACCTGGGAATTATATAAATCTCATACTAAATAATCAAGTCTCAGATTATTCTAACAAGGGCACTAAAAAGACTAAATGAACAACTCCAGTTTACATTACCAGTAAATGTTAACCACCAGCCAGACTGGGACACCACAGCCAGCTCGGGACACCACAGCCAGCCCTACACCTACTGAGTCATAAAGCCAAGATACATTTTAGGTACTGTTTTCAGGTGGCAAGCTGTACTTCCAGACAGTGCTGACACAACAGTGACGATGGGCAAATTTCAAATCCGCCATGACAACACAGAGTGGTTTCCTGTGAGGCACACAAACAGCACAGTACTGCTAAGCAGCAGTTCAGAGAGAGAAGTGATTTCCTCACAGCGAGCAGCTAGCATGGTATTGCAGAAAAGTACAACAAAATATTCAGAAGTATGGAGAACTGCAGATACTCTGCTGGTCAATAGGACAGCACAACCTCCCTTACAAAATAATGGTGCCCAGAATGTGGAATTTACATTTTCTGTACAAGAAAAAAAAATATTTGGCCAAGTACAATCCAATACCCTTTCAAAGCTGTGAAAAGGAAGTAACAAGTAAAAAAAGGAAAGTCATTCTTGAAGAATGGGACAGTTCTGAATATTTCCTGTCCGATACAGCAGGTTCTGCCCACTGGTGACAACAATGATCTCCAAATCTTCCCACTGCAGGAAAACTACTCAGAAACAGAACAAGAAAAGGTTTATTCCATACTGAAAAAAAAGAAAACAGTGTCTCTTTTCTTTTCAGCATGGAATAAACCTTTACTTGTTCCTTTGCAGCCTATGCATGCTGATGCAGCTACCTACTTGAACTTCTAAAACTCAAAAATGGTAAGAATAGGGAAGATTCAGAAAGCGATATCTGAGTTATGACAAAGATATGTGCCTTGCCTAGTCAAGATTCTTGACGATTCTTGAAGAACCTTAGTGGTTTTTCGAAAGCAATCAAGGAATGTTAAAATTTCCAGGCAGCAAATACGTTCCCAGTTTAACACAACTGCAAGAAAGATGTAAATTAAATATGAGATTAAACCCAAGTATAAATTGCATCCCTGCATTGAATTTCAGATCACTTTAATGTAGCCACAATCACAAACAAAAGCAAGGGGGGAAACAGCAGTTTTCTGAGAGACACAGCTAGATAAACTTTATAAAAGCCTAAAGAAAGACTGTATTCCACAGACAATCCACTAAACCTAACAAATTCCAAACTTATGTAGTTTTCATATGGGCACAGTTCCAAAACTTATTTCCTCATTCTGTACATCCAAGCCATGATGAGATGCAGGCAGCATTGACATTGAACAGAGGAATGTGGAGTGCTGACTGTTGATAACAAAAACTGAATTACGATCTCCTTGCTGTTTCTCTTCTTCAGCAGGACTGTATAAGTGTTGTCAGGCCATTAGGCCTTAGGTTTGTCTAAGGTCTAAACTATGCAGAAACTCAAAAGTTAAAAAAAAAGTCTAGGAGATGTCCAATCAAGTTAGTCTTATAAGTCATCTGATTCTAAAATTTCATACTTGATGATCAGTTTCATTGTGCCCAAGTCTTTCTAAATTGGTGATGTAACTATGGCCTGTAAAATCTGAACGATCTGGAGTTCTCCAGACTGCAGGGTTTAAAAGCTCCTGATTAAAAGGAGGGGGAACTCAACCAAAATAAGCATAATTACCCTTTTAAAGTGTAAAATGTCAAAAGACAATAGAAACAGCACTAGTCACCCTTAAACCTACTCCTCCCTACCTGTGTTCTGGAGTAATATGTTGTACAGTCAACAGCAGTTTCAGCCCTCCGCAGCAACAGTGGGGAGAATGAGGTAACAGGTTGGCCATTCTGTGTAGTGTCAACACTGCACTGGGCTGGGCTAGGCCATAAATTCCCCACAGTATTAATGCCATCTGTGAGAGCACAGCTAACTTCCTCTGTAGTACTTTGGTTTTCCCCCACCCCAAATTCTCCTACATGGCAACATGACACACCGTGGGAAACATGATTAGGATTTATTTCAGGCCTTGTCAGCAACAATACTCTTCTTGCGTCCAACCTAGAATTTAATTCATTTCTGATGTACTGGTTCTTATTAGCCAACCTTGTCACTAGACAACTTTTGTCGTAAAAAAAAACAGTCAATACACTTGGGAATACAGATTGTAGTTCAGGACTTTTTCAATGTCCTTCAGAGTCCTTATTTTTTCTGGGAAACTCATATATATATATAGAACCTTATAATGAAGTCTTCTTGAAAAACTAAAGAAAATGAGCAATAGTAAATATGGCACTATTAAACATTACTTCGGGTACACTCACAACCTTTTTACATTCTTAACCAATAACATGGTCAGCACTAACTTACAATATTTGGGAGTTAAGCAATTAAGTTAGTTTACAACTGTTAAATACGGTCTGCTGTGCGGCTACTATTTCACTTGGAAAATGTGATAGAAAGGAATACTGCTGCAGTTCTGATTTAAAATGCAGGAGGTGTTGAGGTCAGGATAGACGAACCTGTAGAGGACGTTCTGCTGGGGCTCACTGGCACCGAATCTGACAAGAGCAAGCTTTGCGGTCCCACACGATGGCCTGACAAAAAAAATGCAAAAGAAAATAATCAAAACTTTGAAACAAATGATTATATGCTGAAAGTTCCTGAACAGGGACAAAGAAATAGCTTCATATCTGTAACGAAAATACCCTTTTTCAAATATTGCAAAGGACTGTATTATGTCTCCCAAAAAGAACTGTTGTCCACAACAGCATTCTGGTATGACAATTATAAAGGCGGCAGATGATACAAGAGCAAATATTCATTACATCAATTACATGTCCTTCAAACCCTCCCAGTGAGAACTCCAGTCATGAAGTTTCAAACCTCAACATCAACTTGTTTAAATACAGCAGGTCCCTTTCTCTTTTGCAGCGCTACCTGAGAAGAAACAGCGACATAAACCCCACCTTTCACAAACATCAGCTTGATTTGCATGCAGTTACAAGGGGCAAAACAAAGGAAGCCGGTTCTCAAAACTTTTTTTTACAGCTGTTACAGATACTGTGTGTATTTCTTGGAAACATGCCAAATGTCAGCCTAGCATGAGCTAGTGCAGTAAACACTGCTAGCAGGCAAAACCCAAGCAGGCACCTACAATGGTCTCCTTTCGTCCAAAATCATTCACTTGTTTATGCTTCTGCAATACAATACCAAGAATAAACAATATGGTAATCTTCATTATGTAAATCCTGATCAAGGATAAGAGCAGAATCCACATTTGAGAAACACTGTTTTTAATAAGCAAATAGTGCTGAACACTGCTCAAGCTGAGAGAACCTTTGAGTCTGGTGTTTTTTCAGTTAATAGCTTTGCGAAGTAATAAACAACTATTACTTAAGGAGGTCACAGAATTGAATTTTTCCTATACTTGTGGAGCTTTTAAAGCTGCCAGTTTTGCCACATTTGCAAGGACTTCAAACAGAGGTTTGAACACTACATTCTTACTGGTTCTGTGGTCAGATGACAACCCAAAAAAACTTTACTTAGCGGGTGCTATGCACAAACTGAGTAAATTTCAAGAGGCATAGATTTTTATCTTTTTAAGTAGACTTCCTCTTTCCTTTATGAGAATACCTACATAATTCTACTTTTACCCCTTTTAAAGATTAATAATGTTAATAAAACTGCACACGCTTTAAATCTCTCTCCAATCTATTTCAACGTGAACTTAAAATACTGTAGAAATAACCACACTGAAAAACACAGAAATATTAGGCTTTTCTCTTTTGAGAAAGAAAAGGTCCTTGTTGTAGAAACGGGCCCCATATTGCCATTAACAAAAATGCCAACACAGTAACATAATTAAAATTGTGATACAACTACTGTCTAAAACCATTGTGCTATTAATATTTCCAGAATGTCACGCGAACTTTGATTGTTTTGATCTTCTTATGTAACCAAGACCATAGCTGGTACATTCCCTGGTAAAAGGTGACGAGGATGAATCACACCCAAGGATTAAAGAGTACCTGCCACAAGTACATGATAACAGCATACTGCACCTACAAGACCTTCAGCACAGCCTCTCCCTGTCATGTCACAAAGTGCAACAGTGAGAATCGTCTGCTTCAGCTCTGCTCCGACATGCATTCTTGCCGTAGTACACAATGCTTCAATTTGCTAACTGGCTTCAATTAGCTCCAGGAAATGAGTACAAATTGGTTAATCAGATTTGGTCACAACTAGTCAAACAATTTCTGACCAGGGCATGCAAATGAAAATACTAAAACATAAAACATGTCGGGTGTCAGATGTTATTTAACAGAAAAAACACAGTGTCAGCATGGTGTCATTTCTGTCAAAAATTGGAATATTTTTTTTTGCTTTTGGGAGAATTTAAGGTACAAGGCTGAGTCAATACCAAGGTATCTTCTCGATGACTTTACATCCTGCTTTTTTCAGCAGTAGGTGATTAGAGGAGACATCCATGCACATTATTGGAGAAATTAATTTACCAATGATCATGGTTAAATTAACTCTCCATCAGTTACAATCTCAAGATGCTCTGAACGTCAATTTCAGTACAGCGCCCAACTGAAAAGGGCAGGAACTTTCATTAAATGAGATTACAATGAACACCCTGTACTCACAGTTTTCAAACGGCACCACCACAAACACTTCCCTTACTTTGGTTGGAGAGCGCATGGACACAGATGACACGAATTTAAACAAAAATGAGGATGGTCAGCAAGGGGAATTAAAGTACACATTAAAAAGGTCTAACACGGTACTGCAAACAGAAGTGTCTTCACATATTGACGTCTTCAGGCCTCAGCTCCGTCTGACTGTTTACAATACCGTTTGGAAAATCAGTCCTTTTCATATGAGACATCAGTTTTGGTGGTCTCCACCCATCGTTGCGCAAGTTTATTTTCACTTTTCTACTCACAGCAACCTAGATCCTACGTATTGCAGTGCTTTGCTCATAAATGCAAAAGCAATCTCTAAAGCATGCTGTCTGAGAATCAACAACCTGTATGCAGCCTTCAATGCTTTAAAAGTGAAGTTGTATTAAGGATAGTGCACACAGTGCAATGAGAACCAGACGTGGAATCAAACTTTCACAGGACTCGTGTAACAAAAGTGCTTTGTCTCCCAATGATCATGCTTTCAGATTGCTATAACATTAAAATGTAATGAACTGCAAAAAGTTTCATACACTTCCAGTGGGAAAATTATGTTTTTACTAAAATAACAAGAAAATTAAATTAGAAAAACAAAGGTCTAATCCTTACAAAGTTGTATAAATATGTTTACTATATCAGTGGACCATCAATAAAGACCTATAGATCCACTGTGCAATTCATTGAAACCCCATCAATACAGAAAGTCTACAAATGATTTTATTAACACTTCTATCCACATCAATTGACAGCAAATTGGTAATCTGTAGAAGATCTGCTAAACACTTACTTTATAGACAAATTACAAAGCATTACTATTTTTGCCTCTGTTGTTTTTGCTCAGATAGCACCCAATCCTGTGCTTCACACAGGATGGGTCCATTTTTCATATTGCCATTCCAAGTAGTAATATTCGTAACTGCCAGTTCTTTTACCCACTCATACAGAAGGTTTCGCCACACAGGAGCAATAAAGCATACATTTTTAAAATACACACATTGTAAATAATGCACTGCCCACTGCTGTGCACTCCTCGGGCACCCGATCCTGTGCTGCTTTCCCTGCTCCCTGTGGAAAGCACACACATATTCCAGTATTATTCAAACAGTCTTTGAGGCAATGAGGCTGCATGTTAATTACTCGAGATTGCAAAGGCAGGTTTTATCAAAGTACAAATCTGGGAACAAACAGGAAAAACAGCTCAAATCAGCATTCCCAACAGTTCAAACACCTGTGTTTATTTTCAAAATGATGAAGATAAGGTATGAAACCTGCAGAGACCTATGACTTTGGAAAAAAGACCCATGACTTTGGGTCACAGAGAGAGAGTTTTTACTATACTTAAGACATACAGGTATACACGACTATTTAAATACCTGACAAAAAAAGTGCCTAAAAGCCTTGAATTCTCTTACGCAACTCCAATAGTAACAGAACTCTTCCTCCTTCTAAGAATTCAGTAGAATATCGAACACCTATAATACTAAGAATACTGTTGCAACAGTTCCTTAAAGGCAATGAACAAGTTCTTATACAATACCCAAAACAACATTTTAAAATGACTTGACATTTTGAGATCATTCTGTTAGTCTATGTTGTCCTTTGATACCTTAAATCTTGATACTGTAATAGCCGTAATAATGGTACCAAAGTCGGCATGAGAGTAACTGCAATTCACAGGCTTTAGTTGGTGAGGCAAAGCCAAGGACATTTTTTAAAACAAAAAAATAATTGTCCTTTCCCATGTGACTCTCAGTGAGAACTCACTAGTCGGGAAGGATTGCCATAGCTCAATGGGTTCAAACACGCATGAACGCTAACTAGGTCCGTCAAGTTCACAGAACTGCCATGGTTCTTGAGCAGATAATTATGAATGAGTTGAACAAATGTCTAAAGTTTGCTAAGCAAAAAGCAAAAGACAGAAACACAGAGCTGGGGGGACATTTCAGATGCAGTAATGCATTTAAAAAGCAGCACTGCTCAAACCACATTAAGCAAAAAAAAACGTATACCAAGGTATCTGGATAAAAATAAGATTTGAAATAGAATAGTCTTTTCTTTAGCCAGTTACAGTTCTTAATTGAAATTGGACAACAGGGGGAAGTGGTAAGTGAACACTTCTGTGTGAACAAAGAAAAAAAAACTGCATTAGCTCTGTAAAACTATTTCACAACTGCACCTTTTTTATGGGGAGAAAGTACAGAATACGCAAGAACACTAGACAACACATTTGAATGAGCCTGATGGGGACTACTGTTATTCATCTTGTGTTTTGGCGTATGGGGCGTTGTGAGTGAAGCTGACAAAACTCTAAAAGACTCTGTTACTACAGTGAACATGAGGGAAGACTGCTACAGAGTCAGTCTTTCAACCTGTATTACTGTATCCACTCTAGCATTGCCCACAAATCCATTCTCCAACTGCTTGACACTCAATGATGGAGGATATAACAGCAATTGTATTGTATTAAAAAGGAACTATCTCACTGGCACTAAAGATGTTTTGCCTGTTTAAATTCTGATGTACGGAATACAGTATAAAGTTTTTTCAAAAGTTCTTGTTTCCTCTTCTTTTTCTCTGTAGCTGTGTACAAGCAGCTGTTCAGCATTCGCTTCACAGGTAGAATGGTACGGCAACACCGGGTCAAGTTTTAAAAGACAAAAGGAGAAAATCCCTACTCCAGCCGATCACTGTCCAACAAAGTTGTGTGTCCCCTTTTGGATTGTTTCTCAGTTTGATATAAAAGAGAATGAAAGGAAATAATTTTGTCGTAGAGCGCATACAGCTCTTAAGAACTGTCTTCTTTTCATTGAGCCACTTATCAGGTGCCCTGTAACCTGATCTCATGTGGAACTAAGCAAGGCCCGGGCCTGGAAAGCAGTGAAACACTACTCCTGGGAAAACAAGATTGG